GAACAAGAGAATGATGGCAGTATTGGTGTGAGTTTCTTGAGAATGTGGGCGTTGATTGGTACTAGCTGTTGCTCGTTGATTGGTCGAAGAATAACTGACACCATTCCTTTGGTTTGTCCTGAGCTCACTCCGCCAATCCCAACCAACTCCAATGTTGATAATCTTCGTTGGAGATGCAGTTGCTGGACTAGTTTCTCGGAGATGAACGAAACTTGCGATCCTTGATCGATCAATGCTCTTGTCTTGATCGGAATTCCTTTAGGTGAATTAAATCTCATTTATGCTGTTGCTAACAGCACTGATTATTGATCTGCTTCTGATGACTGGTTGAGTTGATTGGCTGGCTCTGATGTCTCACTGACGCTCTGATTGTTGAGGTTCACTGATGCCATTGATGTACTGGATTCTGTTGTTGAGAAAATCAGTAAGACAACGAGAGAGTGAATGAATAAATCAATTAATTGTTCATTCACTCACTATCGCTTATCTGTTTATCTGTTGACTTGCTCGTTGATCCACCGTCAGCAATCTCTCCGCCTTCGTTGCGACGTTTTGGTATCGGGGTGATGCTGTAAATGCTCCCTCCGTAGATGAGTGTATGGTGATTTCCTCGACACTTCTAGCAGGTCTTCGTTGATGTACACCTTGGCTGCTTGTGTGGACCCAAGCAGTTGAAGCACAAGCCCTTTGCTGCCACGACGTCGTTCCGTTTGATTGGAGTCAGCTCGGCGAACTTTGGGTACGATCCAATGAAGTGTTTGTCCTGGCAATACACGCAGCACTTCTTTGGATGTGGCCTCTCATCTTCCTTTCCTTCTGGTTGCTGAGTTACTGATGAGTAAGAATTCTTTTTCTTGCTCGCTGTTGACATTCTGCTGCTCACTGGTTGAGTTGCTTGACTGGGAAAGTGCTTCCCTGCGTTGATTCCTCTAGCACAGGAATCCACGAATGCTTTGAATTCCTGCAGGCTAGAGAAGTCCTTCGAATCTCCAAGTTTCAGCTCCCACTGTTTCAGTGTCTGAGAGTCCAGAGATTGCCCCAGCAGGTGCTCGAAGATTTGTTCACCGACGTTCTCCTTGCTGATGCCCTTCACTTCCAGCAGCTGGTCAAGAGCTTCGACTACTGTTGAGACATTTTTGTTGAGATTCTCTTCTGTCGCTGTGTTGCTTTTCTGAAGATCCAGTACCTTGTTGATGAGTGTCTGTGCAATGAGCCTTGGATCTTCATATTTCTCGACCAATTTCTGCCAAGCCTTCTCATAATTTTTCTTCTCAACATCAAATGATGTCAGAAGCCCTGCTGCTAAGCCCTTGACGCAAGACTTAAGCCTGGCCAGCTTCAGCTCTGGCTTCATCTTCTTGCATCCCACCAAGAATTGCAAAATGTTGCTCCATTCTCTCCATTCTATTAGTTTTCCGTCGAAGGTCTTCAGCCCGAGGCGTTGGAGGTAACTGGGTGAATTCGATTCTTCCTCCTCTTCTTCGACTGCCTTGGCGAGACGTGCCTTCAATTGACAGATCGTTTTAATGATCAGTCTCCTCGTGTTTGACGCATACTCCCAAACTCTTCCGGTGAGGTACTCGTGATGTGGTGGAATGTGGTCGATTAGTTGACCTTGCAGTGTAAGCAACTCTCTCCACTCCAAGTCTGCAATCTCCTTCTGTCCATCGAGTTCCTCAATGGAGAGATCATCCAGTGATGTTTGCACTAGCTCCTTATAAATCTCCGTCAAAGTGTCAACCGTGAACATCAACTGTCTCATGTTGATGTCCTGAAGCAATTGTGAGCCCTGTTGATTGGAGAGCTGGTGCATCTAATTCTCTCTCTTGGTTGATCTGCTCTGGGAGTTTATAATCCTTAATTTCCTGGGACTGCTCATTGTTCTGCTCTTGATTGAGGGTCTGCTTGGGACGAGTTCCAGTGTTGGTTTCCTCGGTCTTCTGCTGTGTGTCAATAACTGCATCTCCGTCTGACATGTTGATGTACTTTGTTTACTATAATACGATACTATAATAAGATAACCGTTACTGACAGTATGGAGTTATCGACTAATGGAGTTTTACCGACCGTTGATCCTCTCAGTTGCTGGTATGTTACCAACCGTTGATCGTTTCAGTTGCTGGTGTGTTATCGACCGGTGATGTACTCTGCGTAAGCGCCTGTTGCTTGGCGTACGTGGGTCGAGCGTTGAATTTTCAAAACCACTTGACCTTCACCGGTACTGAGGTCACTCAATGTATACAGAATATCACTCGAAGTCTAAACAAGAGTCACAACCACTGATACACTACTGTCCGTTTGCGGGCTCGTGTGAATCCGAAAGTTTTTCACACGAGGCGTCCTTCCACGTTTTTCACTTCACAAAAACTCATATCCGGCTCGAAGGACCATTTGTTTGATGAGGAACTAGGGTAGAGTGGATTGGGAATTTTTGTGGAAGCAAAGGGGTGAAAATAAAAAGTCACCGTTATAAAAACCACTGTATTTCGTGGGATCGAACCACATTGTTAAGATATGTACACTATATCCATAGGCTTTTAGAGTTTGTTGAGTTTCTCACAATATTAAACACTGAATTTAATTCACTGTTGATTGTCCTTTCTAATAGTCTTTCGTTGAGTAACTGATAAAATACTGAATTTTAATTGAGTTGATGTACTGAATAGAAAATGTGAATGCGAAAACGCGTTGGCTCACTCTATCATTTCTGAATGCTAACTGAACTGAACTTCTCTTCCGGGTGTCTCGTTGACCCGATGACCGTTGACACGAAGTGTCAGGAAGATTTTCGAAGGTGGCCGAATACAAGACCACTAATTTGCAGGATTTTTCTTTGCGTTTCAAACAATTGAATAAGATAGGAGACATCGAGGCGACATTTGAACCGATTCAGCTGAACCGGCCCATAGAGTTAGTGCACATTTATACCTATAATCTCACGAAATTTCAGATTTTTTGGAATTTTTTTAAGCCGTTTATTCCTTCGATTTTCTAAAAGTTGACCATCAAGTCGGCCAAGTTGACCATGCGCACATACAGACACAGTCCTCAAACTTTGTATTTTTACGTATCAGACCATTCTACATCATTTCCACGCAAAAAGAACTAAACTAGTTCCAAAAAATCTGAAATTGTATCAGATTATACGTATCAATGAAGACTACCTCTGCGCTAGAGATCAGCCCGATCGGCCCAGCCCTTTTTGGAGAAATTTACATTTGTTTTTAAATCGTTTTTTCCAAATATCTCGAAAACTATCCAATCGATTTCAATTCAGTTGCGCTAAAAATATTTGTCTCAATGTTTTCTATCTTTATCATTTGTTTGAAATTCAGCTATTCACACTAGTCAAACGGTCACTGGGCTCAACGAAAATGTTGAGAACCTTCGGGGCCCTTCGGGATCATGGTCAGCTATGAAAAAAATCGCCGAAAAAGTCAGTAGTATCGTTCTAGACACCGAGAGTCACTCTAATCACAGTATAGTATCGTAGTAACCGCTCAACCGAGTACATCACTGAGTATTATATCGAGTCTAGCGCTTCGTTCAGCGTCTCTATTTAATTCAATTATCAATTAATTCCGAGCTGACTATCAATTATTTTGAGTCAATCATCAAGTTTAATATCGAGAGAATCTCAAGTGCCGTGCATTTTTTGAAATCATCATTCTTTTGACTTTGTCGAGCAAATCAACAGTGTAACGTCAATAATTTATGACGACGCGTGGGTTATTCCACAATAAAGTACATCAACAGTGTGGTTTTATAATTCCGCGTGTTTTAATTTTGCACCCCCTCCCACAGTTCCAATTTTTCCCAACCGGCATCTCAATTTAGCTTCAATCTCAAACATTGGTCCTTCGAACCGGATAGGGAAAAAGCGCGTGAAAGTGAGTGGGAAATTCTAGAATAAAAGGGACGCCTCGTGTGTAACGGACTTTCGGGTTCCACATAAGCAAATTCACGGACAGGTCAAGACAATCAACAGTGCAGAGTGTTGTGCCTAGTGTTCATAGTTGAAGTTCGGTATTGTAAACACCGGTAGTGACACTTCGACCTCTAATGCTGTGTGACTTTGGAAAACCTCGGTCTCCGCCGGGACTAGCCGAGGCCCAAGCCGCGCGCGCAACGCGAAAACCAACAGGCAGTTGGAAGAGCGCGCTCACCTAATAACGTACCCTACCTTATCGAAAGTGGGCACCAAGAATACATCAGACGGTATCTACCTGTTATCGACAAGTTACCTCACCCAGAGCAGAGACGACCACCATATCAGATGCAGAGTTAGGAGGTAATTAACGTATGGATGAACGCACTGATGAGACGCCAAGCGTAATTGAGCCAATTATCCAGATTACTGAGCATCCATCTCAAGCGCCCTTCAGTGAAGAAATTACACCGCCGTTTCCTGACGCGACTCCCATTCACCAAGAAGAAAATAAACACATAGTAGCCGAGATGGGAACTCCAATAGGCGAACTCACAGAGACTCAGAAGTTCCAAACAAATAAACTGGACTTCAAGGTAAATTCACTTAATGATATTTATCAAGAATTGTTGCAATCAGCCGAGAACATCAGCGGTCTCACAGTCGAGGAGTTGGATGGCCAGGAGAAAATCATCGAAGGAGAATGGAATGAATTTCTGATCATCCAAGACAAACTCAGCGAGAACCTCCTGCCAACTCATCAACATATTATTCAGAGCACCTATCAGAGGGCTTCAACGCTGAAGAACTGCCTCAAACTCATCTACCAGCTCAAGGGAATCATCAAGAAGAGGGAATCAACGAGTACATCAATAACATCAGGTCAAGCCAATCAACTCAAGAGAATTGGACTGAAACCATTCGAAGAAAAATACTCAGAGTGGAAGCAGTTCAGCGACCTGTTCCAGTCACTGGTGGGAAAAGATGGTTCAATTCCCCCCGGGTGCAAAAGCTAGTACGCCTCAAGGAGGCTCTCAAGTGACAGGCAGCAAATCTCATCGACACCTTTACGATGACCGATGAGAATTATGAGAAGGCTTGGCAGAAGCTAGTGAGGAAATATGAGGATCCCAGACGCATTGCTCAAGCACTGTTCAACAGCATCCTCAAACTCCCGAAGATCACCAAGGCAACTGCGGAGAACCTCAACGCCAATGCAGCGGCAGCCCTTGAGACGAGAGATCACCTGATCATCATGACAGGCTTGTCCAAGGAGAGCATCAGTAAGCAGATGATCGTTCATCTATTGAGGAAGTCCTTGGATGCTGAGACTCTCAGAGCATGGGAATTGAAGCTAGGAGATTCCAAGGACTTCTCAACCCTGGAGGAGTTCACCAGCTTCGTAGAATCCTGCACAAGAGGAATCAATGCTGGAGTCAAGCTAACCACCGAGCCTCTATCATCATCAGTCAAGGAGTAAAGAGCAACTGAACGTCAGAATGCTTATGTAGCAGCAACTCAACAGAGGGAGCCAGGCGAGCCCACCAGACCGCTCCCCAAGGAACACTGTGCCTACTGCAAGGGACCACATTTAATCGCGAACTGTCAGAGGTTCGTCGACCTGTCCCCCATCAAGAGGAATGAGTTCATGGTCAGCACCAGGCTCTGTTTCAACTGTTTGGACCCACATCTATTCTCAAAGTGCAGGTCCACCAAGACGTGCTTCACCTACAAGCGTAGGCATCACACGCTCATCCATGGTGAAAGCACGTACACCAACGGCAGAGATACTGAGCAGGCAGCTCCAGTGGACCAAACAAGCGGAGAAAATCCACAGACGGTCCAACCAGGAAAGAGCTGGGCTGAGTGTACGTAATAAATTAGTTTCATTCTAATTTAAAACACTCATTGATCGCTTTCAATTATACCTACCAGCAGCCCGAGCATCACCAAGAGGAATCATCATCAATCAGTCGAACAACAAATCAGCAGAGCCTCCCATCAAGAAGCAGATCACCAAGCAGCCAATCATCGAGAATAGCAGTCATCATTCAACAGCTGATCAGCAATACGTACTGCTAGCAACAGCCCAAGTGCGAGCACAATCTCCAAAGACATCCTTCTCAAAGCAAGAGTGCTCATCGATCAAGGCTCAGAGTTATCATTTATCTCTGAGGTACTAGTACATCAACTACAACTGTTGCGAAGGTCATCAAAAATAGAGTTAATCGGAATAGGAGTGACCAACTCAGGTCACACGAGAGAAGCAGTATCAGTACTACTTCACGCAGTCAATGGATCACAGCAAGTGCAAATGAATGCTCACATATTCAAGAAACTCACTGTCAAGCTACCATCATTCTCGTTCTCACCAATATGGATGGACCCTCCACAAGGTCTACAACTAGCCTATCCAGATTATCTAAAACCTGGTCCAATAGACATCATAGGGGCTGACAGCTATGGGCGGATCATCAAAAGCAGAGTCGTCAGGTCCAGAAACACTCAATTAGTTGGCCAACAAACAATATTTGGTTGGATACTATCAGGTCCAATCGAATGCAGTGGTTGTTCACCGAGGGTTTCTCTATCGGCCGTAAAGGAATTTTCAAACGAGCAACTACAAGAGCTTTTTCAAAAATTTTGGCATCAGGAGGAATTACTAAAAAATCCCAACTCATCAGCAGAGCTATCACCAGATGAAATCGAGTGTGAGAAATTCTTCAAGTCCACACACACCAGAGATGAAACTGGGCGCTACATCGTCAGACTTCCTCTACGGACCTCACCAACAGCGCTCGGAGAGTGTAAATTCAAGGCCTCACGTCAATTCCAGTCAGATGCACGTCGTTTCCAGACAGACGAATCATATTTCCAGCTCTACAAAGAATTCATCAACGAGTATGAGGCACTGGGACACATGCGCAAAGCACCAGAAGGAGCAGAACCCATCACAGCATACTATCTACCGCATCACGGGGTTTTGAGAGAAGACGCACTCACCACGAAGCTGAGAGTCGTCTTCAACGGCTCAAGTCCTAGCTCATCAGGATTATCTTTCAATGATATCCTCTATCCGGGTAAGAAACTATAAGTTGATACCATGAACGTATTAACATGGCTCAGAAAGCACAGGATTGTCTTCGGAACGGACATTGTCAAGATGTTCAGACAGATTCGAGTGCATCAAGAAAACTGGCATCTCCAGAGAATTCTGTGGATCAACAAAAATCAGCACCAGATCACCTACGAACTGACCACAGTCACGTACGGTCTCAATTGTTCTCCATGGCTATCTCTACGAGTTCTCCAACAATTAGCAGAGGATGAAGGACATCACTATACAGCAGCCGTCGAGACACTCACCAACGGTCGCTATGTCGACGATATCTACGGCGGAGCTGATACAGAAGATTACCTCAAAGAAATCGCATGGCAGTTACAAGGGCTCTGTCAAGCAGGCGTTTTCACTCTACAAAAGTGGAGCAGTAATCGTCCACATGTACTAGAGGAATTAGGAAGCTCAACGAGTAAATCAATCATCCAGTTTGAGGAGCCTATCACCAAAGTACTCGGATTGTATTGGCATCAATCGTCCGACACATTCCGATTTAAATCGAAGCAGTTCGAGTCAGCAGCGATCACCAAGAGAGTATTAGCATCAGAGATTGCTCAACTGTTTGATCCATTGGGATTCATCGCTCCAGTAATCGCTCGAGGCAAGATAATCATCCAAGATCTGTGGAAACTCAAGCTCAATTAGGACACGCCACTTCTAAAGGAGTATAAAGATCAATGGACGATCTTCACAGAGAACCTCAACAAACTGAATCAAGTCTCAGTGCCAAGGTGGCTGAGACTCTCATCGGAGATATCGAGCATCCAGACCCACGGGTTTGCAGATGCGTCAACAGCAGCCATGGGCGCAGTGGTGTATATCCCCACCAAGCAAATCAACGAGCCAGCATCAACGGTAATGGTATGCGCTAAAACAAAAGTAGCTCCTATCAAGCGCATGATCATCCCTCGACTTGACCTAAGCTCATGCTAACTCAACTGACAGCCGCAACTCAACAGATGCTGGAATTCAACGAAGTAGACACCTACCTATGGTCTAATTCAAGTGTAGCCCTAGCTTGGATCAAGAACCACCCATCGAGATGGAAGGATTTCGTCCAAAACCGAGTCATCAAGATCCAGGAAGCTCTTCCGAATGCAACCTGAAGGCACATCAGCGGTAAGGAAAACCCAGCGGACTGTGCATTCAGAGAACTTTCACCCCAGAAGTTAGCAAAACATCAGCTATGGTGGTCAGGCCCTGAGTGGATAAATCAGGAACCTGAAAACTGGTTATTATCACCCATTGACTCGCCAGGGAAGCATTAACAGAAGCAAGGCCAACCCTATCACATGAGACAACTATCAAGGTCAACGCCGTAGCAGAGCTCCTCAACAGATACTCAACACTAACCAAGGGCCTCCAAGTAACAGCCACCTTGACCCGAGCCATCGACAAATTCAGAAGACCGCCAGTCCCTCAAATACCGGTCCTAACCTCTAGAGAACTCAAGGAAGCCAGACTGTTTTAGGTAAAAATTACGCAATATCAATATTTTGCAATCTGTTCACAGGCTACGTGAGGGAGACCATCAAATACCACGGAGTCATCCACGAGCAAAGCTGACTCCAACTCTAGACAGCGAGAGCATCATCAGGCTAGGTGGCCGCCTCCAGAATTATCAACTAGACCCTGACGAGATTCACCCAATTATTCTGCCTCGTCAGTCCCGGTTAACAACGTTGGTCATCGAAGAAGTTCACCGAAGGACACTCCACGGAGGGACTCAACTCACCCTAGCCTACGCACGCCAGAAGTATTGGATAATCGGTGGCAGACGCACTGTGAGAGCATATATCTCACGCTGCCCTGTCTGCATCCGACATCGAGGACGACAGGCCCAGCAGCTAATGGGCCAACTGCCTGCAGTGAGAATATCACCTTCACGAGCATTTCTCCATACGGGGGTGGACTATGCCAGTCCATTCCCTATTCTCAAATGGCGACCCACAAATGCCCAACCATCTAGCGTTCATATTGCAGAATTCGTATGTTTCAGTACATCAGCACTCCATTTAGAGCTCGTTTCCAGGCAGACAACAGACGCATTCATCGGAGCCTATAGGAGATTCACCGAAAGGAGAGGCATCCCCGAGGTTATGTACAGTGATAACGCACCCACGTTCGTTGGCGCATCAACAGTCCTTAACAACCTGTACAACCAGCCATCCAGAGAGAATCAACAGATCCAGGCTGCTCTCGCCACCAACGGAACTCAATGGAGCTTTTCACCAGCGAGAGTACCCCACTTCAGTGGCAAATGGGAAGCAGCTGTAAAATCGACAAAATACCACCTCAAAAGAGTACCTGGGTCGACAACATTCACCTACGAGGAACTCAACAGCAACTTGATCTAGATAGAGGCCTGCCTCAATTCCAGGCCAATCACACCGATGTCAGATAACCCAGAACACCTCCAAGCACTCACCCTAGGTCATTTCCTAATCGGCGAGCCTCTACAGGTGATTCCAGAACCATCAATCATCAATGAGAACCCCAGGAAGTTGCAGAGATGGAATCTGATCACCCCGAAAATACAACAGTTCTGGTCCAGGTGGCCCAGAGAATGTCTTCAAAGGTACCAAGCTATCTACAAGTGGAATCAACGACGAGAGAACATCAAAGTTCGAGACATGGTCCTGATGGTCGACGAGGAATATTCACCAGCAAAATGGCCACTCGATAGAGTAGTGGCAGTTCACCCAGGAGAAGATGGCCTACAAGTGGAATCAACGACTAGAGAACATCAAAGTTCGAGACATGGTCCTGATGGTCGACGAGGAATATCCACCAGCAAAATGGCCACTCGATAGAGTAGTGGCAGTTCACCCAGGAGAAGATGGCCTCACAAGAGTTGCAACCATCAAAACATGACGAGCAGTAGTACCAACTCGACCAGGTGGTACCCCAACATCGAGAGAATCACCAGTACCAGGCATGACATTCATCAGACCCATCACCAAGCTCTGTCTCCTACCGACAGATCCTCCACCAGCAGAACATCCCCCAGAAGACGATCCAAAGCCAGTCAACGAGTAATTATCGCAGAGAACAGCAGCAGAGAAATTCAACGCACAATTCATCATCCCTGATGATGAATGGCCCCCGGGATGTTTGAAATTCAGTTATTCAAACTAGTCAAACGGTCACCGGGCTCAACGAAAATCTCGAGAAACTTCGGGACTCTTCAGAATCACGATCAGCTATGAAGAAAATCGCTGAAAAAGTCAGTACTATCGTTCCAGACACCGGGAGAGTCACTCTAATCACAGTATAGTATCGTAGCAACTGCTCAACCGAGTACATCACTGAGTATTATATCGAGTCTAGCGCTTCGTGCAGCGTCTCTATTTAATTCAATTATCAATTAATTCCGAGTTGACTATCAATTATTTTGAGTCAATCATCAAGTTTAATATCGAGAGAACCTCAAGTGTAGTGCATGTTTCAAATCATCATTCTTTTGGCTTTGTCGAGCAAATCAACAGTGTAACGTCATTAATTTATCAAGAAGCGTGGGTTATTCCACAATAAAGTACATCAACAGTGTGGTTTTATAATTCCGCGTGTTTTAATTTTCCACCCCCTCCCACAGTTCCACTTTTTTCCAACCGGCATCTCAATTTAGCTCCAATCTCAAACATCATTAAAAATATATATACCTCTTCATTCAAAGTTTTTGAGATATTTCAATTTTTCGGTTTTTTGCTTCAAATCCTTGTTCGCGCTCCAACTTTTTTAAAAATGAACACATCAACTTGAAATTTGACATGAAGTTACCTCTTATGATAACGATGTTTGGTATTGAAGATGGGCAAAATCGGATGATTAGTTTGTGGAGATATTCCACTTTGTATCAACATAGATTTTCTTGAATATTTCAAAAACTGCTTATCTGATTTTATTTTTTTTTTCAAAATATTCGTCTCGATGTCTTCTATTTGAAGGAATAAAAATATATATACCTTCCATGGGAAGTTTTCATGATATTTTAATTTTCGTTATTTCTCTGAAAATTTGTGTACGCGCTCTAGATTTTTTTAAAATGAACATATCGACTCGAAATTTGGCACGAAGTTACCTCTTATAACAGCGATGTTTGTTGTTGAAGATGGGCAAAATCTGATGATTAGTTTAGGAGATATTCAATTTCATATCAAAATCGATATTCTTGAATATTTCAAAAACTGCTCATCCATTTTTTTTTTAATATTCGTCTCGATGTTCTCAAGAAATATATATATCTTCTATATACCCTCCATGGGGAATATATTCATATTTTCCTCTCAGAATTCTTGTATGCGCTCCGATTAAACAAGCAGGGGTTCAGGCCTTGGGATGGGGCGTCTTTTGGGTTGGTAGTTTTTTTTTTTTTTTAGTTCTACGAATTCCTGTAGTGGTAGACTTCAGAATGGATCGTTCACAATTGCCTTTTGAGATATTCAACAAGTAGAGTTCTCCTGTAATTATCGCAATTGATTTAAAGGATGTTTAATCAAAGTTTTGAGGAAAATCTAACTTAGCAGAAAGCCTGAATAGATACAATATTTGGTATTAAAGATGGCTTAAATCCGATGATTTGTTTAGGAGATATTCAACTTTGTATCCAGAGGTATTTCCTTCGCATTCCCCATATACCCTTTGTAACACAGGCCTTGTTAGTTTAAACAGAGAGAGATGAACCTGGTCCCTACCTTTCTTTTTCTAACACTCCTGCTCCGCTCGAGTAGTGCTAAACAAGGATAGGTGGGAACTGATTTGTTTTCTCTCTTTAGCAAATCCCGGACAGCTGCTCCCTCCACATGCGCGGTCTAGGTATTATATGTCTATGAGTTTTTCTATTAATTTTTATCATATGCCTAATCCTGCATACATCCAAAGCCATGTGTTCATCAGCTTCTTGAACGAAAAGAAGAACTCTCTGATGAAGGAGCAGAGTGTGTTTACTCACATCTGCGAGATCGACAGTGAAATCA